CTGTTGTCTCCATCTTGATCTCATTATTTGTGCAGAAATCTATGAATCTCCTATTTCTGTACTCTCCTCCATTGTCAGACCTCGACCGCTTGACTTTCAGACTGGTCTCATTTTCCACCATGGCCTTCTATTTTCTGAAGGTATCAAAGACTTCTGATTTTTTCTTCAAAAAATAAACCCACATCTTCCTCGTAGAATCATCGATGAAGGTGACATAATATAATGAGCCTGCAAGAGATGGAACTAGAGATGGTCCCCATACATTAGTATGAATCAACTCTAACCTTTCTGCCTTGGGTATCTTGCCAATCTTTGCAAAACTGACTTTCTTTTGTTTTCCAAAGATGCAATCCTCGCATAGTCCGACATCTACACTCTTTAGATCTAACAGCTTCCCTTTTGTCAAAAGTGTCTTCATCCCTTTATCGCTCATATGGCCAAGCCTTTGGTGTCATAGGTTTGATTTTCCATCAGTATCTGCAGCTGCAATGATATTCTCTAAATTTGAGGTTACATAGAGAGTATCAGTCTTCTTACCACGAGCAATGACGAGTGCTCCTTTGGTAATCTTCCATTCACAGCCTGAAAAAGTTATGTTATATCCTTCTCCATCAAGCTGTCCTACAGAAATCAAATTTCTTTTGAGGCCAGGAATATGTCTCACTCCCTTCATCGTCCAGGTGGTCTGGTTTGGCAACTTGAATTGGATGTCTCCTTTTTCGACGATCTTTAAGGTTTCATCATCAACTAGATGAACCCTCCCAAAATCACCACTGACATAGTTCTCCATGATTTCTCGGCATGGGGTGGAGTGGAAAGATGCCCCCTGAATCCAAGATCCATGATTCAATCGAACTGTTGATGCTTAGAATCATGGCATCACCTGTCTCCTCTGTCATGTTGGCAGAATCCTGTACGCCGGTATCTTTCATCAGTGCTCGACAATCTCTTTTAAAGTGACCCTTCTTGCCACAATTATAACAGGTAAAATCTTTCTTTCTTTTTATGAATTTTCCCCGTCTGGATTTCGATCTGCCACAATTTGAATTTCTTTCTGAAGTTCTTCCTCTAGACTCTGTGTGCAAGGCTGAGGAGGTTGATGCTTCACCCGATTCTCTCCGTCGAATTTCTTCACTCAATACCAGATCCCGAACATCGTCGAATTTTAATTTGCTGTTTCCCGACGAGCTGTTGGCTGCCGTAACAGTAGCATTCCAACTGTCTGATAGAGATGATAAGAGAATTAAAGCTCGAACTTCATCATCAAATTCAATTTCCACGGAACTCAACTGGGTTGTGATTGTGTTGAGTTCATTCAAGTGTTGAGCCACTGATACCCCTTCCGCCATCCGCAAATTGAATAATCGCCTCATCAAGTGAACTTTGTTTGAGGCCGATGGTTTCTCATACATACTGGAGAGAGCCGTCATAAGACCCGTCGTGGTCTTTTCCTTTGCTATGTTGAAAGCAACATTGCGGGATAACGTCAGTCGGATAACTCCGAGGGCTTGTCTGTCGAGAAGAGCCTAGTCTTCATTCTTCATGCCCTCTGGTTGCTTCCCTGAGAGAGGTTGATATAGATTTTTCTGGTACAGAAAATTTTCAATCTGCATCTTCCAAAAGTCAAAGTCCGCACCATCGAACTTCTCAATTTTCACCTTCCCTTCGTCTGCAGTCATCGCTCCCACTCGAATCTGACTTCGTTTGGATCGTTTCTGACAATTCTTGCGAACCACCGTGTATTAGAACACCTCCGTCGATAAATTCGTATAGCCGACAAAATTTTACTATTCACGAAATTCACTATTCACGTTAATAGTAATCAATAGTAACCTCACAAAAAATTGACAAAATTCACAACCAAAAGCTCTGATACCAGTTATTGGGAAATAAACGAGTAACGAGTAATTTTCCTATAACTGGATTAGTGAGAATGCGAAATAAAAGCGAAAAATAATACCCGAAATTGATAACGGAGTTTAGCCAAACTTGTTTACGTCTCCGGACTGCTGCAGATCTTTTACTAAGAGAAAAAATTTACAGGTGTTTACAAAATACTCACTACTCACAAGAAAGTTCTCTAGTAATGGGAGAAAGAAATATTTTTGGGATGATTTTGAAGCTAAATGGGCTAGGGTATTTATAGTTGAAGCTTAAGGACTAATCTTGTAAATACCCTAAAATATACAGTGGCTAAAATGTAATTAACCTAAAAATATTTTAATTAAAAATTCGGACACCGTTGAATTAAAATGTGCGGTGCCCCCTATTTTTGAAAACAATTAAGCTGAAAACAATTTAGCTGGCCCTCCTTTTGACTTTACGTTTAACAATGACTATACTCCTACTATTGAATAATAAGACTTTTCTTCTCTTAGAATATGGTTAAGACTTTATTATCTTCTATAGGGTTTAATGAATCAAGTAACCGGGGAAAAGATACGAAATGCTCTTTGGAGATGTATTAACCTAGGGAAGAAGACGAATGGACATCCTCGACAATGTCTCATCAAGTGCAAACCAACATTTTGCCATTGGTGTGGGGTGATTGACCATGTCACTGTAGACTCCCCAAAAAACTCATCTCGTCATAAAGAAGTTTTGTAATATGAGGATTGGTTAAGGGTGTATTCGGTAAGACCTCATATTGGAGAAAGTAGTTCCAAACGAGGTGGTTTGATCTAAATTGACCAAGGATCAATGTCATCCTTGAACGACCAAGGATCAACAATAGAGAGCCTAGGGAGAAACGTCTGTGTTGGCTCACTACTAGAAGGGGAAACTCGAGAAAGTATACGAAGTGTGTGGCTAAAAATGACACCAAAGGGTCGGACCCAAGGGATGATTGGCTGAACATAACCGTCCCAGTTACTGACCTGAGACCAAGTACAGAAGTAGACCATCCCCAAAATGATGTATGTGTGAATTTAACATCGGCTAGTAGTGTGAAACGCAAGAGTGGGGATAAATAAAATGGAAAAAACGTAGCAAGAGAACCCATGGAAAGACCGAGAACTCAAACACTCTTACCTCCAAGAATTCGAAGACAGTTACTAGTGAGGAAGAAGACCCAAATGAAATACTATGTTAACGTATGGGAAATTGTAAACCAACAATGATGGTTGCCTAGCAACCCAACCAATCAACATGAGTACTCTTTTTTGGAACGATCGAAAGCTTAAGAACCTATCGACAGTTCGACAACTCGTGAACTTTGAGACTCGTCTCCAAAAAGGGTCCGAAACTTGTTTTCTTGTGTGAGACTAGACTACGGAATATTAAAAAGAAGAAAATCAGGATTAGGATGGGGATGACGAGCTATTTTGAAGTGGAAATAACCGATAGTTGTACGAGGTTGCTTATTTTATAGAAACATGATGTTCAAGTGACTTTACTCGATTTCTCAAGTTATTCTAGTAATGCAGAAGTCATTTGGGATAACAATAATTTCCATTTCACAAGGTTCTATGAGTGGTGTTCCAGCGTTCAGAAAAGAGTATTAGGATCTGATTAATAGGCTTGTTAGAACTTCTTACTTGTCTTGGGTTGTCGGGGGAGATTTTAATGAAATCATCCACCAAAATAAAAATAATGGAGCATTAGAGATCGAATATGGACATAAAGGATTCCAGACAAGGCCTTCGAAGTGCTGACCTGTGGGACGTGAAACAAAGAAAGGGTTGGTTTACCTAGACTTTTGGGAGACATACGAATACTCACTTGATAGAAAGGCTCGATATATTTATCGCCTCACCTAGGTGGTTTTATCTCTTTAAAGATTGTTGTGTGACCACTGAGAACACCACTAACTCGGACCATGTAGCTATCATTCTTGACTTTCAAGCATCGAAAGTAGGAATGGCAACGGGGCGGGTTCGGGGTGGGTTTTGCTCTCCCGTCCCTGTCCCCGAAATGAATCCCCATCCCCAAAATGAATCCTCATCCCCGCCCCGTTTCCCATCGGGGATATTTTTTGCCCCATCTCCAAACCCGACCCGAAATGTCGTACCTGAACCCGACCCGACCCGATCCCAAGAAAAACCTAGTTTTCATTAAAAAAAATAGAAAAAACGATCACAAAAAACTGAAAAATTAGTTTACATGATTTACAATTCAAACTACAGTCACAAATTAAAACTCAAATCTAAATAATTGTCTAAACTCTAAAATAAAACACATACATAATTAAATACAAACTTATTCCGATATTCAAATCATACAAAGAAGATGCATACGTAATATTAAGTCAAATAAAGTCATCCAAAATCGTCGTGTCACTTTTGTCACTTTCTTTGGTAGCTTACTACATTGAGAAATTTATCAATAAATCAACCAAATTTTACTTTAATAATTAATATTAAAAAATATAAAATATTATATATATATAATCGGGGCGGGGCGAGGTGGGGATACCTTGCCCCGTTCCTGAACCCAAACCCAAAAAAATCCTCGAATTTTACCCCGATACCCGACCCGATATTATTCAAACCCGACCCGACCCAAACTTAGTCGGGTTTCGGATTTCCCCGTCGGGTTCGGATCGTTCTGTCATTCCTAATTGAAAGGTCTTCTTACGAGGACAAGATACGGGGACTATTTCAAGTTTGATTCTTGTTGGGCTAAGCAAGAGCGATGAGGGAAAATGGCTATAGAGGCATGGATTTAGGGATGGCATGGGATCCGAACCCGATGGGTTCTGACCCGACCCGATTGTGTCGGATTTTTTATTAAAAAAATCGGGTTCGGGTCAGGTTCGGATTTAGAGTGAAAAATACCAGACCCAATCCGACCTGAAAAAATATATAATTTTACCTTATATATTTCAGAATAATTACAATAATATTCATATATATATTATTTTTTTAATTAAGTCATTATTTTTATTGAATAAAAATAATTTTTTTATTATTTCGGGTCAGATTTTTAATTTATATATCGGGTCGGGTCTCGGTGAATGACTCATTATTCTCGGGTCAGGTGGACCAAAAATCCGACCCATACCGATCCATACTCGGCTTATCCAATGGTTCTGGTTCAAATCCCTATGTACAACTAAAGAGAGGTCATTTTTTTCCCATGATTTCGATGTTTAATATATTATATTGTGCAAAATTTGCCATAACTCATTCTGCAGGTTTATAAACTGTCCATCGGAGCTGCATGTGGCCTCTCTTGGCCTTCTGATCGGATCATTATTCAAGTCCTTGATGATTCAACTGACCCAACCATTAAGGTAAAATTCTTACCACTCTCCACCCAAAATGGTTCAATTATGATTTTGGTCCCCTATTATGATTATATTTGTGATCTAATCCTTATAACTTATTTTGGCATCGTTTTCCTGTTATGATATTATTAATTGGTCCAAATGACCACCATTATCTAACCAAGTCAAAAGAATCAACCGATTGGACCACTAATGATAAAAATAGAGAGACCAAAAGCATAATTTGACCCAAAAAGAAAGATTGCAAAACAGGACTGAATTGTGTGAAAAAACAATGAAGGATATGGTGGAGCGCCAAAGATGGGGGAGCAAAGGCATAGTTTTCAGAATCGGACTGGTTAGCGAATCGGTCATGCTATCGGTTCATTGGTTCAATCGATCGAATCGGTCTGACAGGTCGGAAGAACCGAACGACGTTATAATTATTTAAAAAATTAAATAAAAATACCAAAAATATTTAATAAAAAATAATTTTTTATATCACAAGTCATATTCAAAGCAAGTCATAACATATATAAGTTAAAAACCATAAAACCAAGTGAAACAAAATAATTCAAATTAACTACAACATAATATTTAAGGTAAAACTTATTAAATAATAAATATAATTATATAACTATAATTAAAAAATAAATTTGGGGTTAAAAAAATCATAACAAAATGATATTGTTTGGATTAATTTTTTTTTTTTAAACAATCCCACATGACTAAGAAACATAGAAGAGCATCCCAAAAGTCTAAAGAGTAAAAATATGAGAACAAAACAATCTCACATTGCTAAGAAACATAAAAGCACATCACAACTAACTTCTATAAATAATAGAGATAATTTGGCATTCAAAATCATGGAGCCTTTTGGTGAGCATTGAGTGAACTATTCTTTCTCTTCAATCAAGCTCGAGTTTTAGGATTCAATCGAGCTTCTAATTTTTTTTGAGTTCAAGTTTTAATATTATATTTCGAGTTTGAGTTGAACTTGATAATTTTTAACTTGTGAGTTTGAGTTGAGTTGAGCTTACTTTTAAAGTTTTCAAGTTCGAGTCGAGCTCAGCAATACTCGAGTTTAACTTGGCTCGTTTAACAAACGACATTGTTTGGTTTAATTTTTTAATTAAAAAAACAAAAATTCCTATTTTTCCCTATTTTTTCTAGTTTTCAACCGATCCGATTCGAACGGTTCAGCAGTTCTGACCGATTTACTAATAGCGGTTCAACCGGTTTAAATTAAATCAAACTAAACAATAATTTCTGATTGAACCGGTTAAACCGACCGATTTAATCCGATTTTCAAAACATAGAGCAATGGATAAACATAAAGTACGAAATAAGAGACAACAGAAAGGGCTACAAAGCGGGGCTCTGAAGGAAGGGATGAAACACAGTTACGTCAAACACTGTGACTACGTCGTCATATTCGATGCTGATTTCCACCCCGAACCGGATTTCCTATGGCGAACCGTTCCTTTCCTCCTCCACAAACCTCAACTAGCCTTGGTTCAAGCCAGTTGGAAATTCGGTAATTTTCTCTTACGTTAATTAATTTTTTTTCTTTATTTTTTTAAAATTTAAATGAAAAAAAAAACGTTTTCTTTTTGTTAACTATATTTGGAGTGTGTCGGTGGGTCTAATCTAATAGGGTCGCTGAGCAAAGGTTCGAACACGTGCGTGGTTTATGTCGGTGAGGATATGAACTAACGAGTATATAAAAAGAAGGGTAAACTACTTATTTAGTCAGTCACCTATTTCTGTGATTCTGTTTTAGTCATTCAATTATTATTTTTAAATTATAATTTACCTTTTAATTCCGTTTTGGTCATTTATTGTTAAAAATAAATAGAATTACTGACGTGATAATGTATAATTTTTTAATGATGATATGAAATTATCTTAGGGGTGACATGTCAGTAATACCGTTAATTTTTTTAACGGAAGATAATCAAGACGAAATCAAAATGTAAAATTAAGTATAATTTTGAAAAAAATTACTGGATGATTAAAAAAATCACATGAATAAGTTGATGATTAAATACGTAATTTATATATATATATATATATATATATATATATATATATAAAAGCTGATAAAATTATGTGATCATAAAGAATCCTGCTTATTACCTAAATTCTGATATTTTAGGCCAACAATGGTGGGTTTTCCCCCATTTTTTTAATTGAAATTCATTTTTTGCTAAGTTGGTGTCTGGGAATTCGAACATAGGGCCAGTATGGGTGATTTTCCTGATATATCACCGGTGACCGGTAATATTATCGATCTAACATCGGTCAGACTATATTTTCCGATCTAACATCCTTAACAGTAAAGCGCGCCCCTTGCGCCGCGCTATACGATGATTTGGTGCCACGTAGGGTATAGCGCGCCCCCTTCACCGCGCTATACGGTGAGCTGACGCCAGGTGGGTATAGCGCGACCCCTGCAGCGCGCTATACATGTATATCTGACACGTGGGGTATAGCGCGGTGCAGGGGGCGCGCTATACCCTTAATTACCGACCCATCCTCCCTATAAATACCCCCATCCTCAATCACTTTTATCACGCCAAATTCTCTCAATTTCTCTAAATTTCTCTCAAATACTCTCTTTTTAAGGTATATTTTATAATATTTTTACTATTATGTTTTTACTTTATTTAATATTTTACTAATATAATTCTTTTGCAGATATATAATGGAAGGCAGTCTACTTCGCTCGGATGGAAATCATATATCTCTACATTTTGTTGATACGGTAACATTTTAACGTTTTAATTTAATTTAAATTATTAGTAATATTTAGTTATTTATTTAATGTATGATTATTATATTAATAATTAAATATCTCTACACTTTGCTGATACGGTAATATTTTAACGTTTTAATTTAATTTAAATTATTATTAATAATTAGTTGATTCATTTAATGCATGATTATTATATTAAGAATTAATTTTTGTAAATATTTATTTTTAGGAGAAGGACCGTGTATTAGATCATTTTATTAGGAATCTTAAGTTAGTGATACACAGCCGTGTCTTGCCGTATTTAGTAGAGGCTGGATTCGGTTACATAAGTAGATATCAGGGTCACTGTAAGATAGAGCCAGACCTGATTTCTGCCTTAGTAGAGCGGTGGAGGCCGGAGACCCACACATTCCATCTTCCGTGCCGAGAGTGCACGATCACGCTTGAGGATGTTTGTTGAGTTAATCGAATGACGAAATTGGCCAAGAGGGGGGTGAATTGGCAATAAAAATTTTGTGGAAGCTTTTGCAGAAAATTGAAAGCAATTGCACAGCGATTTACAGTGGTTCGACTTTCTCAAACAAAGTCTACGTCCACTACCTTAGCTATCCACACTAAGGATTTTCCAACAAATTCACTAATTTGTTCTTTCTTTTGAGGCCAAAGAGATAACCTTACAATTCCCTCAAGAGTATACCCCAACTCTTGAGAACACTCTTTTCTCAAAGAGAAGATTACAAATTTGCAAACTTACAAGAAAACCTCACAAGGTAAGATGTTTGCACAATTCTAGAACAAAGAAAAGAACACTCAAAGATGAATACAATTGAGCACAAAAAGTGTTCTTGAAAGCAAAATGAATATTGAATGAAAATGGGCTTGAAATGCTCAAACTTGAGGTTTGATGCTTTCTCTTTGATTCTCTCTTGATTCTAGTTGCTTGATGTTTCTTGTTATTGATCAATGGCTTCTAAGCTTGCTTAAATACACCTTGAATCACTTCTGAACGTTGGGGATAATTAGAGAAGATATTATAGCCGTTTTAGTGTGAAAACATTTAATAAAACAGCTTGGACAGTGGGGGGAATCGGTTCCCTATCATGGGGAATCGGTTCCCTAAGTGTAAAATTCAAATATTTCGACCGTTGAACAGGGGGGAATCGGTACCCCCTTGGGGGGAATCGGTTCCCTCCGAGCATTCTGGAAATCTCGGAGCCAAACCATTCAGGGGGGAATCGGTTCCTCCTATGGGGGGGAATCGGTTCCCTCTGAGTATTCTGGAATTTTTTGGCTTTGAATTGGTTCGAAATACTTTGTAAAATATTTTGAAATTGTTTTATGATTAAAACTTAATTTTACACTTAAGTAAGGATCAAAAATGATTTTTGAAATATTTGGAGTAATGTTTTGATATTCGAAATAGTTATATCGAATATACTTAGAAAATCATTTGGAAAATCTTAAAATCCATTTAACTTAATTTGTTATATCGAAATATTAAAATGTTTCAACAATCTCCCCCTTTTTGATATAACAAAACATTTTAGTAATTTTAAGATTTTTGAAATCAAGTTTTGAAATTAGAAAATTAGAAATTACTAATTACTCCCCCTTACTTTAACACTTATTCTTCTCCCCCTTTTTGTTAAATCAAAAAGACATTGTAAAACAAGGTTTTGTAAATCATTTAGCCAATTGATTTATTAATTATAAGCTTAAGCTGCTAAGATCATAATCAAAAGAGAGGTTAGCCATTAGTTTCATAAATCAATATTCATAAATAATGTGATATGGCAAAATTGGTCATATTGCTAATGATAATGTAAATGATGCAAAAATGAATAAAACACACCAAACATATAAGTTCACACCATTCATATATCCAAAATCCAACAATCCACAAAATCAAACATATCAAAATGTTGAAACAATATTCATTTTGTTCAAAGTTTTAAAGCTAAACATAAAATCAAGCATCCGGATCGGTAGGAGGAAAACGGGCTCGCATGGCGGCCATCTCGTGTGTGAGTTCATTTATACGAGCGTTGGTTGATTCATTGTTTGCACGCATCTCCCGAAGAATCTCTAATTGTTGAGCTCCCATTGTGGATAAATGAGACTCTATAGAGGAAAAACGCGAGTCCATGGTAGCGTATCGGTAATCGAATGTCTCCATAAAGGATTGAAAATATGGAGGCATTTGATGCGTTTGTTGTGCTTGCTCCTCGGGCTGCTCTTCGGGCTGATCAGGTTCTTCTTCAACTTCATCAATATCCCTCATTAATTGTTCAAACTCGGGATCTTCGTCAGCTTCGGGTGGAGCTTGTGAAGAACTAGCTCCCGGAGTAGAAGAACGAACCCATTCACCGGTTTCTTTGTCCTTTACCCATCCCGCTCTCGTTAAGGAAAGAAGATTTATTTGTTTCTTAAGAGGAAAAACGGCATCTAGACCGACTCTAAGCCCAGCTTTGGAAAACAGATTACTCAAAAAGCAACCGTAAACTAGAGATGAACAGTGTTTCTTGTTAGGAACAAGATTTACGGTTTCAACAATTTC